GGGTTTGAGGAAGGAGAAGAAGGAGGAGGGCGCCGGGCCTTTGTTTGGGCCCGGGATTGGGCCTGGGGGTGGGAGGGGGGAGAGGGATTTGGATCTTGATTTGGCATCGGAGCTGGAGGAGCACGATTACGAGCTGTCTGGGTACAAGAAGTCGGGATTGGTCTGTGGGGTTACGGAGAATGCGGGATATGGTTAGTTGGAATTTTTTTTTGGGAGCAATTTTACTTCTATTTGTGGTAAAAAAAGGGGGGACAATATTTGAATTAGTAGTCAGCAGACTAGTAAAGAGTAGATTAAAAGTAGCTTTTACTTGAATGCAGAATATTTTGCTAATATTCCAATTTTTTTGGTTTTGCTCGAATGCACATTATTTGTAACTTCTCACTTCAATTAATACATTACAGTTTTACCCGTTTTTAAGTTTGGTTGATACCCTGAAGGCCGCGGGTTAAATTTGCCCAAAAAAAAAAAAAATACCCCAAGTTGCATAACTTTTGACCTTAATACCTTTTGTCACACTCACATTATGGTTCAGAATTTTGTTTTGGCTGTGAATATTCTTTGATAAAGGATGTTTTAACTGTAGTCAATGTCATATATAAGCCATTTGTGTTTGGAAAGGTGAAGGAATGGATTATTGCTTATAATTTTCAATACATTTAGGGTTAAATATATGGTGGAGGAAGAAAGATATTCTGAATTCGGGTGAAATATTTTTCAATCTTGGGAGTACAATAGTTCAAGTAATGTGATAATCACGTTTTGTGTTTAAGTAAAAGTCTGACCGGTGATGTAACTGAAGGTATTGAAGTTAAAAGTGGTGAAACTTTGGAGTTTCTGTTTAGCTTAAACATCACGGTGTTAAAGTTAAAATTAATGTGATTTTAGAGTATCAAAGTGCATCTAACCCTTTGTTTTTTTATTTTTTTATTACAAAAATGAATATTTAATGAAGCAGTATGATTCATACTTTATTGAATGAACAATATTTGTAATTTAGTTTCAACTAACTAAAGAACAGAATTGGATTATTTCAGGTGTATATTTGGCAATGGATAGTCCAAATTATGCAGGCATATTATGTGTTAGATTTCTAACTAATCTCAACCATGTCAATATTTATAGACAGTCTGATTGAAGACGTGGATTCTCCATTGTCAAAATGCAGTGGGTAGGACCCAGATCCTTAGCAAATTTATGTGTTTAACTATGTCTATTTACTAGGCTAGAAGCATTGCTGGACTCTAATCGCCAAAAATGATATGGGGTTTGATTTCTCTATATGTAAAAACCATTATATTTGGAAATCAGTTCCTACGCAAGAAGTACGAATTCGTGCGGCAACAGTAAATTCTTCTGTGCCATATGAATTTATAATTTAAATTTGCAAGGTCCTGATGTCTTGTAATTACCTTTCTAATGCAATACTACAATGGTAACATGGGCCATGTTGTTCCTTATGAGATGCATCAATAGAGCTCTGACCTCTATGGTGTAGGAGTACGTAAAGAAATTGAATGAAGATTATCTATTCCATACTATCTGCTTCAGATATTGACAGACTACTTGACTGTCTATGTCATACATCATTCATTGAAATGGTGCCCGCATAAGGATATTCCTTCGCTTGGCAAGGAGTTTTGCTGAGTCTAATGGATGCAAAAGTGTGGGTTTCATCTATGATGACTGTCAAACCTTTGGAATTTTCTTTTTTGTGATTGTTTCGGTTCTGTTCTGCGCATTGCATCGGGGAATCCTTTTCTGATGAATAATAGGAAGAAATGAAAAAGAAAACTGCTTTAGCGCATAATTCCACTAATTTGGTCCAGACTTTTTTAGAGGCATCTTGCTAGAAAAATATTTTACCTCATATTCAGAATTTTAATGTATTTCTTGGAACACAATGATTAATCCTTATTGTTGGTTTTTGCCAGGTCGTCTCATCTTTTATGGTTTGCAGCATTACCTATCATTAGCTGGTTCACTTGTATTCATTCCGATCATTATGGTTCCAACTATGGGTGGAACAGATGTAAGATTTGTTCTTTATGGTTCTCCATAAACATAAAAGGAAGGCATGGAGATTAACTTATTTTTTATGTTTAATGTTGACAGGTGGAAACTGCTACTGTTATTTCAACCATGCTGTTAATATCTGGTCTTACAACAATTATGCAATCTTTTTTCGGTACTAGACTTCCATTAGTACAGGGGAGCTCATTTGTATATTTGGCTCCAGCTTTGGTTATAACAAATTCTGAAGAGTTTCGAAATCTTGGTGAGAATGTACGTCTAGACTTCTTACCATTGTTTCTATCATTTTTTATTAACATTTTAAAGTAATACAATTGATTTATTTTAAGCTGCAACAATTATGGCAATCAGTGGAGCATACTTCTCTTGCAGTCTACATGTACTTACTTATATTATTTTAGTGCATACTTCTTACTTACTTCTTTTCTTCTTGGTCATATTAAATGCAGAAATTCAAGCACATAATGAGAGAACTGCAGGGGGCTATTATTGTTGGTTCAGTTTTTCATGCAGTCTTGGGATACAGTGGTCTTATGTCACTGCTTCTAAGGTATATCAAACACACATTCAGTTTTTCCTTTAGGCCAGTTGTCTCACCAATCATCTATTTTTCTATCTAGTTGAATGGGTCTGTACTCAAATATGAAATTTTCTCTATCAGAAAATCTTTAGGGGGTGGGATATTTTTGGAAATTATATAAACCTTTGTTTCATTATATAATTTACTAGGGTAAATTTTACAAAACCCCCCTTAAGTTTGATCATTTCTCAAATAACCCCCTTAACTTTTAAAATATTACAAAAGGCCCTTAAGTTTTGGGGTTCTCAGAAAACCTCTTCAACACTCATCAAAAACTCCTTGAAGCGTGAACCACAATTTTCACAGGCAAAAATATTCCCCTCTTTAATTTTACCCATCCATGTGAAAATTGCGGATTGCGGTTATCTTAGAAAACCTCTTAAAAAAAATTTCCGGAAGGGGGGTGGGGGGTTGTGATATTTTGAAAGCTAAGGGAGTTTATCTTAGAGATGCCCAAACTTAGGGGGCTTTCTGAAAATTCCCCATGTTACTATAAATGCCATTGATCGTCATAGCTCTTGTGAGACAGACATTTCTGGAATATATTTATTTTCTATAATTTATTGCTAGATGGATCTCTATTTTTGTTAAAAAAAGGAAACTTTGTAGTTCATGTAAAATAGATTTTGCGTACTTATCAAATACTTATTAAAGAGACAGAAATAAACAAATTGTGAAACAATTGACTTATGAGCAGTAAGAATGATTGTATAGACTATCTGGTACCTCTGGCTCAGTTCATCTCCATTTTCTCTGATAATTTTCAGGTTGATAAATCCGGTGGTGGTTGCACCTACAGTTGCTGCAGTAGGTCTGGCATTTTTCAGCTATGGTTTCCCTCAAGCTGGAACTTGTGCAGGAATAAGCGTTCCCTTGATTTTGTTGGTCCTTGTTTTCACTCTGGTAAATTGGATGCATAGAATTATTTCCAACAAGCTTTACTAAAAATTATATATTTTGGTACCTTGTGAAAGGTTCTTTTTCGATATTGTGACTTATAGATATTGCTTAAATGATTTTATCTTTCTCCTTTATTTGCAGTACCTGCGAAGAATTTCCATCTTTGGGCATCGTGTATTCCTAGTCTATGCGGTATTTCCCTCGTCTCCTTGTGCTTTTTTTCTTCTAAGAACTATAATAATAACCATTCAACATTATCCTGACTACTTTTCATGTGCATTCTGCATCCTTATTTTCTTGTACAAGAGGAGCATCACTTCATTACCTTAATTAATCAAGTGATTCTCCTTTGGTTGTGATATCTGCATTTGCAAGATGCCTCTAGCTGCTATTGACCTGTATGTACTATCAATGGACTTAGCTGCTTCATGCAAGTTTTACCTTGTAGGCTTTTAGGCTATCTAGATCAGATGGACCATATGTTTTGACTAGATATTCAAGATATGCTTCCTTGAACTTATGTTATGATACTTGTGTAATTTAGTAAATTGGCTAATTATTTATTTTGGTACTAATTGTGACAGGTTCCTCTTAGTGTTGCAATTGTATGGGCATATTCATTCTTTTTAACAGCAGGAGGGGCATACAACTATAAGGGATGCACTGCAAACATTCCAAGCTCGAATATATTATTAGATGGGTGCAGAAGACATGCACTAACCATGAAGTTCTGCCGTACTGATGTGTCTAATGCATGCAGAACTGCTGCTTGGGTTAGGATTCCTTATCCTTTCCAGTGGGGTTCCCCGACTTTCCATTTCAAGACCACTATCATAATGATTATTACGTCACTAGTTGCGTCAGTTGACTCGGTAAGTGGCTTTAACATCTACAGATTCAATATATTCTTGATCCTCAAGTTCTAATGTACAGTGGCCTAGAACTGATCATCATTATTGAGGTTAACTGTTCTCCCTAGGCCAAATAAACAACTGTAGCTTGAGTTTATTGTAATCTACAAGTGGATTGGGTCTAATTTCCCCTCATTCATTCTAACAGATTGGTTCATATCATACTGCATCTTTGCTGATCAATATGAGGCCTCCAACACCTGGAATTGTCAGTCGAGGGATAGGTTTTGAAGGATGTTCAAGCATTCTTGCTGGACTTTGGGGTACAGGCACCGGCTCAACAACATTGACCGAGAATGTACATACCATTGACGTGACAAAGATGGCCAGCAGAAAGGCTTTGCAACTTGGAGCAGCATTCTTGATCCTCTTCTCATTTGTAGGTGAGGAAAACTACTAGGTGCTATCAGTCCTTTGTACCACACATTCATTTTATGGTTAACTGCGGATATACCGCCTGTACTAAAGCCCAATTGTGTGTAGACCCCATGTGGTTAGTTCTATTGTTGCAGACAGACCCCCTGAATGAATATTTCTACTCTTTCATCCTCAGAGAAAGAGAACAATGTTCATGACAGATAGACCTTCTGGGGGCAAAGGAGTCAAAAACATTTCACTCAGGAAGTCCGCACTTGGGCGATAGTGCAGGGGGTCTATCCTCAATTGGGCGATAGCACAGAGGGTCTTCCGCAATTGGGCAATAGTACAGTGGGTCTCTCCGCAATTAACCCTTCATTTTATGGCTTGAATGTCTATGACACCCAAAATTCGGGCATTTGATTATCACATGTTTATTCTTTTTCAATCATCCAATGTTTTGATTTTTTTTGGCAGCAAAAATTGGTGCACTTCTTGCATCGATACCTCTGGCATTGGCTGCTTCTGTTCTATGCTTTACTTGGGCTCTAACTGTGGCCCTTGGCCTATCAACTTTAAAGTACACCGAGTCTGCAAGCTCAAGGAACATCATCATTGTTGGATTTACTTTGTTCATCTCCCTCTCAGTTCCTGCATATATTCAACAATACCAGCCCATTTCCACCCTTATTCTGCCCAGCTATCTATTACCTTATGCAGCAGGCTCCGCTGGACCAGTTGATATTGGAAGCGAAAGGGTAAGCTTATATAGACTCTGCAAACACATTCATAAACTTAATTCATGCATACTTGTTTGTACATGATAGGAGAAGAACGCGCTAGAATATTATAAATTTCTACTATGGTCGTGCTAATGGCAAACAACTACATTTAGTAAACTTGCACGTAGGAACAAACTTGTATGCTTACAGTATACAACATGCACATCACAGGTACATGTATAGAGTTAAACTTATGTCATATGAGCGAAAAATGCATATGTTGGGCAAGTTCCTACACATTCATGATACACCTCCTGAACTCAAAATGATCTTAGTCCTGTCCATTACTTAGATCTATGTATTGTGCGCATAACATGAACTTGACCTAAATTTATCTCAATTCACTTGTAGCATACTCATAAGAGAGCTGAAATAGACAAGTAATATTATCTTGCATTGAAATGTTGCACTTCACGAAACATAACTATTATCTTAGCTTTGTTGTCCTGATTCCCACTTACGTCATAGCCTTGTTGCCCTCGTCTTATTTGAGCAGCTCAATTACGCGCTGAATTCTCTTCTTTCACTCAACATGGTGGTAGCTCTTCTGGTTGCATTTGTTCTCGACAACACAGTTCCCGGCACCAAACAAGAAAGAGGAGTTTATATTTGGTCTAAGTCTAGTAACGTCGACATGGATCCAGCTGCTCTTGATCTTTATATGTTACCTAAAAGAATCCGGGGTTGCTTCAGGTGGGCTAAATGTGTTGGTTCATGATCCCTTCTTGATATGCCAGTGCCGATATTGATATGTCTCAAACTGTAAAGCTACATTTTTTAATTTTGATGGTTCTTCTGTTACAATTTTTACATGGTAATTGCATCTGAGATAGATATAGCTGGATAAAAGAGAAATAGTTACATATACTACTTACTGTCATGGCATTGAGTTGAAGGTGTAGCTGCGACGTTCTAGGAATGAAATGATGAAGCATTCAACGTGAAATGGGTGCAACAATTGATCAGTATCATACTGCAGCCTTGTCGACATTTTTGTATGAGGCGTAGGAACTTAATTATTGATTCTGCAGCAAAGCAACGAAGCCTTGAACACCCAATATCGGTGTATCTAATTGGTTCAGTGGGAAAATAGCGTTTTGGGGTCTGTTATGTTGTTTTTGCCAAAGCTGGGGATTTATGATACAAAATTGGAAGTGCTCATCTGTATAAGCATTTTCGTTCTGAGCTTTACCTTGTTTGTTTGGGTGTTTTTGTGGAAGTTTTGGGATTTATGACACTTTCTTATACGACAATGCTCACAAGAAACTTAGAAAAACTATATGTCTGATTTCATCTCTCAATTATTGTCTCTCTGTTACAGTTTACTCTCCTTTTAGTTTATTTCATAACGAGCAAAATTGACCCCGTGCGTTGCCGTGGCATTTGTGTGAAGAAGTCAAAAAATAATTGTTAAGTAATTTGTCTAGATTTTTTTTAGTTTGTGGATAAAAATATTTTTGGGAGCTGTAATATATCTAAATTACTTATTTTTAAATAAATCCCTCAACTCATTGAATTTGTTATCAGGTCTCACAATTATTGTAATCATTTCAAGTTAATGACTCAAATTATTACTACTATTCTTTACTAAAGGGACTCATTTCAAAATAATTTACGAACTGAAGGATCCAGTAGTAATTTTAATAATTTGAGGGGGTCAACTTCCAAATAAGTTAATAGTCGATTAGGCATGATAGCACTTTTCACGATTTAAGGTACTAGTTGGATTGCACGTGCAATACACGTGGTTAATTTTTCATTTTTTGTTTATAATTTTTATATTTTTTATCCTGTTTTTTTTTTATAAAATTATGTAATGTAAGTAATGGATAAAGCGTATAGACATAATCTAAACATTTAACATTTGAACAATTAAATTATATTTATTGATTGATTGGGCGAAAATACAATGGTTTAATCTATAAGTATCGTGATTACATCAATTTCATTACTCATTGCAATATTTATTACATAATAATTTTTACTATAGATTCTTATTGGAGGACAAATTCCAAGATTCTTATTGTAGATGTATTGACCAGGAGAAGTGTTAAAACTACTATAGAACGATACCATGAGACAAAATAGCACTGTTTTGATACTGAATGAAAGAGCATATCCTCCTCCATTTAAATTAATGCCACTTTGCAGACATGTAAGTTAATATCCATTCAGAGGCATGCTTAGTATAGTCTTAGGAGAAGGGTTAATTACAAATCTCAAGCTTGATGTCTATGTTACAAGGCAGGAGCATCAATGTAAAATGAGCACTTTCTACACACCAAGCAAGCGATTGTACCTCTCAGTTTCTTATGTCTATCCCTCTTCAGTGTTTATGTACATGGTATTACAAAGGCAAAAAATATCCAAAAATACCCTTCTTCTTAAAAGAAACCAACTGCCCCTCTCTACACAATTCGCACATCCTCTTTCTACACCAGACACAACTACAAGCCTACACTGAACTTGAGCGTCCACCAAAAAATTGCACCCATTCACATCAACAAAGAAACAAAACATCAAATTATACTCCAAACACGTTGCATATTATGATAAAAAAAGAATTTACTCCCCATTGCAAATTAGTTACATTCATTTCCATTTCCAAGTAAACACTCAAAGGCTTGTTTAAATATTCCAGTTTTTTTGAATCCACAAAGGAATAAAAAAACACAATTTGCCGAGAGGAAAAGGTGAAAGAAAAGAAAGAAGGGAACAATTGTTTAAATATTCTAGTTTGCTTGTAACGTCATGACAAGTTGCTCTTTGCTTTCAAGATAATCAAATCCAAGTTCCTGCATAACAAGAATTAAGCAACATAAAAAATAGCCGTGAATATATGCGAGTGTAAAAATTTTACAAAAGATCCGAATACCAAACACCAAATCAATTTCAAGAAGTGAAATTTATAACGTGAATAATATTACAGCTAACAGAACTACCGAACACCAAATCAATAGCATACTAATTGACAAATCACTGTGATGAAATGATAGCTGAATAACATTTAACTCCTATCTGGCGTCCACCTACTCATACCATCTCGCGCTCTTTCTTTCTCCATCTGAATGCAGTCTTTGAGAATGTATTTACTAATAGATATATCACATATGTTTGTATAAAATACCAGTGTTTTTGTGAAATTTACTGTTTGTATACCTTAGCAGGACATATGTCCTGTCCTATCACTTCTTTCCACAAGCATGACGCTCAGGCATCCACAAAGACATTACACAGGTAGAAACAACATCCAATCACCAGTCGCAGACTCCAAGCTCCATTACGAATTGCCGTTGTCATAACTCAAATGCAAAAATACACTTAAACATTAGAATCCACCTATTATGATCGTTTTGGGTATGCTTTTCCAAGTTCCTCCTTTAATTTAACTCATAATTACAAGACTTGTTATGTTATATCTTCCCAGCTAAATATAAGCATGAAGAATTTAAGTTATTATCTAAGTCAAGTGGACCATAAGTATCAGTAGAAGTTAAAGCACTCAAGTGGACCATACAAGCTAACGATTCTGAAAATACACATGTGAAGAACTCCAAAAAGAAAAAGGAAACAGCACAACATGACAATGTAACATTCAGCAGATGCACAAGAATCTATTCATTAACAACCCTACTTGTTTAGCATGAAAATCATAGATATTACCATTAAAGAATATCATTAAAGAATATCATTAAAGAATGATTAAAAAAAATACCCGAACTCTCATAATGATTGCCTCTCGACTCCCAGCATCAAAATTGTCCCAACCACAATTATGAACCGTTGTAGATGATCGGGTTTCCTTCCCAATCTCATTCGCAAGGGATGTCGCATGCTCCCCCTCTTGTGCTCCACTCGAGGAAGGGATTGAAACTGAAATTGCTTGACCCAATTGTGTCACCAATCTCTCTATCCCCTTCCCTCGTGTTGCACCGCGTACATTTCTACAGGCCGATGGTACCGATCCTACAAAAACACGATTAATAAACTACATAAGATAATAGAATATATCTATAATACCTGAATTTTGATCATATTTAGGTTGAACTTTTTTTTGTAATGTATTGAGGTTGCAGTTTAGCATTACCCTCTTCACCAAGTTTCAGGGCATGTTTATATTTGCTGGTGAGTTATCTTCTAAAAAATGTAGTTCTGTGCAACAACCTTAAATTTGTACTCTAATGCATCTAGGCAACAAACTTATACTCTCGTAGCCTTTGGCAATTAACTGATGGACCTTTTTATAAAGAATAAAGAATGCTGGGCCATTAGGAGCTGTTGAAGGTACTGGAGAATGCCATGTTTTCTTACACAAATGTAGTTGAATAGCATTAAAATGAAATGGTAAATCACGTAGCTATGTTAACATCATGGGACAAAAATATTTAGTAGGGTGTCCAGCTATTTATGTGCAATCACGTGCTTCAAGGTCTTGTTGATGAGCTTGACAATCCAACAGAATAAGTTTTAAAATGAAAAATTGATATAATTTCTTGGTATCATCTTTTTACTTTATTATCTTCTAGTTCCACAAGATGAAATGTTAGTTTACCTAAAACCGTGCACTTTTTATCAACTAAACATTAGTAAGTCAAGCCAGTTTGAGAATTGAAGCATCAATAACTGGTGTAAGGACATAAAAATTACTCCAGTAATCTATGTAATACATAAAAAAAGAGCTGATCAACTAATAACCCATCAGCTGAACTCGCAGAATTGAAATCATACCAATAACTAAAAAAGCTAACAAAAACTAATAAAATGGTTATTAGAATTGAATATAAACAAATTCTGGAAGCCACATACATAAAGGGTAATATTCACGTAATATTGACGTATAGTAAATTATACATTAGTCCTGTAGAGAGCATGAACAAGTCATATTTAAGATAGAAAATGCTGTAACTACCTCAAATCAACAAAAGTGTGTGTTCAGATCAATTAGGAATCCCAAATGCTGACTTCCTTAGTAAAATACATATGAATAATAAAATAAAATAACGTGGTCAGTAATATACCCTTAGTAAAATACATATGAATAATAAAATAAAATAACGTGGTCAGTAATATACCTGGAAATATGCATAATCTGGAGTTGTAGAAGAATAATAATAAAATAAAATAACGTGGTCAGTAATATACCTGGAAATATGCATAATCTGGAGTTGTAGAAGAATTTTTAAAAGAAAAGACCTTTAGGGAGCAATTTCAGTTTTCCTTTGCAAACCGTGAAATCAAATAGAAGATCTCCTTGTGCCAAAACTCTTGTCTTTGCTTTGTACCATAAGGAACCAAAAAGATATGCCCATACTCGACGGGATTCACCTTAAATAAATGATCAGAGTAAATGAGAACATGAAGTAAAACACTGCGACATACAATCCCTATTCACGAGAAAAACAAACCTCAACATATACTCACATTAACCAGAATCAAGAATCCGACATACAATCCCTATTCACGAGAAAAACAAACCTCAACATATACTCACATTAACCAGAATCAAGAATCCATGCATAGGAATTGCAGCACGAGAAAAACAAACCTCAACATATACTCACATTAACCAGAATCAAGAATCCATGCATAGGAATTGCAGGCGAAGGAATAAGTTGACTTTGACAACTCTCCTTTTCTCCACTTGCAATGAAAAATAGAAGATTCTCCCTGAGAAGTTTCATATGAGTTGGCTTCTCAGGTCCTAATGGCTGGAGGGTTTTTTTCTCAAACTCAGCAGTGAAGCTTAAGTTCTATTTATCATTAAACTGATTAAGCAATTCCTTTTCACCCCCAATGATCTGCATAGACACCAAATATTGAGTCTTTAATAAGAACCGTATTCAAAACAACATTAAATCATTACTTAGAATGAATAGTTATGCAAACAGCAAACACCTTTGTTTCACACATTGTTACATCATATTTGAGCAGGTCTTTCCATGAACAATCTTCCCACTGTAATTTTTCACCGATAAGACTATCATAAGATGTTCTTCTACAAAAAGTAAAGGTGGAGTGAATTACCGTAAGGTGTACCGCAGAAAGGAGGAGAGCATCCAGTAAGCTCTCATCAGTAGAGACACAATTGCCTTTAGTAGAATTACCAATCGGGTAAAGATGTGGCTTGATACCTGACATACACCATTTTTTGTAGTACATTAAGATAAAGCAACAAAATGCTCTCTGAGATGTAATTCAAAAGATTAGATTGATTTTGAGCTCAATGTCAGATAAAGTAATATAACTTGGCAATAAGGGTTATTCATGCTATCACATGATAATCAAGTGAAAGATAAAATTTATTTTCTAACACTGAATAGATGTTATCAAAAGAAAAGAGTACCTCTAATGCAACATAAAGTGCATTTGAACCAACAGGATGAGCACTCAATTCTGCCAGGTACTTAACATGTTGCAATGCTGAAATTTTCAAGTAGACGAATCCTCTGCCACATAACTTTGTAAAGTTCCTAATTTGTAAAGTGTTGCTCCTTAAAGAAATCAGTTACCTTGATAACGAGCCGATGACAGTGGAGGTTTAGTATCTTGCATTGATCGAAGGCTACTTGTAAGGACCGTGATTTTCGATTTTGATTTGAATAAATTTTTTCTGGTATTTAAATATTAAATATTATTTTTCTAAAAGAGTATTTGTATTTTCCCTAATTTTCTACGATTTAAAAATACGATATTATGTTATTTTAATAAGTTTTGCTAATTATAAATTTAATTGTTTTGGTAATTTTTTTAAATAAATAGTTAATTATTCATCCTTGTTATTGTTATTATTATTTTGACTATAAATTTTAATATTTATTTTAAATAAATTTTATGATATTTTTTAAATTATTTAAAGGAGCATTTTTTTCCTGTGTTTTCCTCTCACCGGTGTTCACTCTGTATACCTCTCCCCAATTCACGCAAACCCCTCCGCCTCGTGTTTTCCCCCCGCTCTCAACCCACGTCCTCCCAACCACCCTATCCCGCACTCTCTCCCTCATTTCTCTCCCTCATTAAATTCTTCCGCCGTTTTTACTCTCTCTCCAGTCTCTCTCAATCTACCTTTTTCTCCCTCTCTCACACTCAACCCCCATCAACGTCCTTTCTTTCTCTCTCTCTCTCTCTCTCTCAATCACTCCACTTAATTCACTCCTCAAAACCCGCAGCTGTCCCCTACATCATCTCTCTCCCCCTTCTTCTTCGTTATATCTCTTTTCTCCCCCTCAAAAGAAAACGCCAGCTCCTCCTCTTTCCTCAAATCCGACGAACCCCTCCAAGCCGACACCACCACCCTTTGCCGCCGTCACCCAGCAGCGCCGCCCCTCCGCGCCAGCGACCTCCAGCTCACCGCCGTCCTCGAACTCCTCCTCCAAAGCCGCCGCTCAAGCCCAGCTGATCGCCGCCGCTCCCTTCCACGACGCTCTGGCGCCGCCCTCAACCACCCGAACTCGAAGCCGCCACCAGCCCCCAAATTCGACAGCTCCAGCCGTGCCCGCGCCTGAGCTCGCCGTGCCGCCGCTGAGCTCGTCCCCACCCTCGACCGCACCGAGTTCGCCGTCGACTGCTCCTCTCTCTCTCTCTGTCCAGCTCATCGCCCTCACCACCGTGCACCACCCCTAGAGATCCGCCCTTGTGCCGCCGCTCGCCAAGCTCCTGCTCCGCCTGAGAACCACCACGAGCTCCTCCTTCAGCCGCTCCCCCAGATCCGACCGCCCTCCTCCCCACGACCGCCTCAGGCCACCACCTCTCTTCATCTCCGACTCCACCAGATCCGTTGACTCAACTACCCCGAGCCCCCACAACTCCGGCGACCCGCACCGCCCCAGTAGCCGCCGCCGACCTGCCCTCCTCCAGTCCCCATCTCGAGCCAGATCTGAGCTCCACCTTGTCGTCGTCGCCACCTATAGCCCACCTGTCGCCGTCCTCTTCCCCGCTGTTCGTTCGCCATCCACGAGCTCCGACAACCCCCACAGTTTCATACCTGTTATACCGCATCCGCAGCGGCATCGTCGCCTCGTCATCAGGCCCCTTGGCCACGCAGGCAAGATCCTACTTCTCTTGACTTGCCAATTCAATTTTAGATCTGCGAATTAATTATATGCATGTTTAGACTGTAATATAATTATTGTTGTGATATATCTGCGTGGGATTGTTTGATGAACAATATTAATTATGAGGTGTGGTTTTGAAAAAGAAAAGAATATTTTTAAAGAATATTTTTAGAATAATTATTGTGAGAAATATTTTTAAAAGAAATTATTTTTAGGAGTATAATATTAAAAATAAACATTTAAAGATTTTTTTTAGAATTAATTATAATGAGAAAATATTTTAAGAAACTATTTTGTAAAAGGACTTTTAAATAAATAGATTAATGATTTTATGATTAGAATAACTTAAAGGAAATTATTTTGTAAAGAATTATTTTGGAATTAATAAGCTAATTATTTTTAAAAGGTTAGTTTAAAATTAAATGGTTTATTTTGAGTTATTATAATAATAGATATTTTAAAAGAATTTATTATACTATACATGCATGTCCGATTCATAGTTATCCCATACAGTCATGTCCATGTCATATTAAGACTCGTAATTATATTTCATGTGATTACTCATTTGATTCGTGTTATTGTCTGATATCACATCTTTATCGTGCTTCCTTATACTTATGCTTGAAATGTATTAGCCTAGAATTCCCTACAGGTTTGCTTGCAATTCGCTGTCGGGAAACGTATTATTGATTGCAGCCTTTTATAATTAATTGCCGGCCGTGTATATTATTGATGGCCTTGTATTGTATTCGTTGACTCATTTATGGCTGTGTATCATTGCGGTGGATGGCCTTCGTGCCTATGTATTTGGTTTCATTTCTGTGTCGGCTATACGCCTTGATTTCCTCCAAATTGTGGAGATGAACCGACTTTATTCTTGTAGGCGATTTCGCCGTTTTCACTAAAATAGGGAGGGGAGATTAACGTCCTGATTTATTGACAACCCCAACTTGAGCCTCTCTGCACCTAGGATGATTTGTTTGGACTCTTTCATTCATTCTATTGCTCAATTATTCGAAATTGAATCCGAAGTCACTCTCGTTTCCTGTGCCGACCTATCTACAATGGAACTAGATCTTGAAATTCTTCCCGTTGACGTCATAGGATTCTTTGTTATGTCGTCATTATACTTATGATTATTTTCTATATTTCCTTTGGTTGGATCGCTTCCTCGTTTAGCGTGTATACTTCCTTTTCGACAGTTAGTAGTTGTTTCTTTATTCTGCATCGATCTATCTATCGTCGGACTTAACTGAAGGATTTCTTCTTCACTCTGGTGCATTATAATATTACTATTTTCATATATACCTATATATATATACTATAACAAATCATTATTACATGATATGTCATGATATTATTGCACATGAATTGTTACATTACTATTGCCTTGCTGCGATTGAGAACCATTAGCAGTCATGACCATAGTGGCCTTGTGTGACCTAGAGACATGTGTTGTGTTGACTTAGAAAAGCAAGAAGAGTTGGGGTGGGAAAGTCTTTGTTCATGTGATTGGATATGGTTGTTGATATATCTTCCAGGCTCGTACCAGTGGATCAGTGTCGCTACTAGGGTTGGTTTGTTGAGTCAAGTAGATCGGTGTCGCTACTTTGGTTCATGAATTTATTTGCTTGGATGATGTGCGAACAATCAATTATACGATGATATGACCGACGTACTACGTCTCGAGTTGTAGATTTTTAAGTATTAATTTCATCTAGTGTATGGCCGTGTTACTTGGATGATTATTCTGATCGTTGGCTGTATGATCGACTTGTTACTTGGTTGACTTTCTTGGATACTCCTGATTATTATATTCTAGTGGTAGATTGCATTTAGATTATTAGTATTCCAGTAGCATGTTTCTTCTACTATTATTACCTGTTTTTGCTTTGGTCGTTCGATCGTTCCTATTTCTCTCTGTGGGATCTTGCCGTGTGTTGCACACACTGACGTACACCTGTTTTTCTCTGGTGTACGTCAGATTTAGGAGATGAGCAGCCTCAGTTCGGGATAGTACAGGAGCCAGATGATTTGCAGCAGTAAGATCTTCCAGATGGATCAGAAGAATAACCTGAAGCTTAGACTTTTCTTTCTGTAGTAGTTGATGAGCACTAGAACTCTTTTACAGTATTTCTATTGGACTATGTATTTTTATATTTTTAGTTGGACCGTTTTGTAATAAGGGCGTGTTTGACCCAACTCTGTGTCCTGGATGATATTCTATTTGTGATATGTATCTTTTCCATTCTGAGTTGTTCATTATACTCTTGCTATGTGTGATCGGGGACCTGTGACTTCGTATATTATATTGTTTCCAGACGCTTAGCGTATTAGGTTGAGAAGAAAAGAAAAAAAGAAAAAGAAAAAAAAATGATAGTGTACATTTCTTCTCAATCTAATACGTCGCGGGCTTGCTCGCGTCCCGATTCCCCGGTATTTTGGGAAGCGGGGCGTGACAGGTTTTAGTGGTGGCCCATGCAGGTCACGGTCCCGAGTTTTCACTAGTAAGAATATGACAGATAACTTAGACGCATATCATATTTCATCCGTAAGACTAGGTTTAAGCCCTTATACTATTATTTTAATAAACTACGTTTTAGCTACTTACTTACCCGATTTTGACCTTAATTTTCCTATTGATTCTCGCCTTCTTTAGAACCATGGTGACGACTCGTGGCAATGGTAACTCATCCGGTAGCAGTGACCCACCGTCGGAAGTGGACACGAACCAACTC